TACATGTTATCAAATAAAGTAGAATCATTAATGGAATTAAGGGATCAGTTTAGGAATCAGAATTATTAAGTGGAATCTCAATCAAAACTATAAATAAAACGACAAACATGCAAAATTATCGAAACACTGATTTACACATGAATATGTGGTGTAAATAAACAAAACACTGAAAGATATTACGACAGCATTGATGATAACTGTTGGGATTCAATATGGGCCAATCTTAAACTTGTTTAAAAAAATCCTAATCATCAATTAATTCACTACAAAATGGTTCATAGGATGTATCTCACTCCTAGGAAACGATATTTAATGAAGCTTTCTTCATCTTCCAATTGTAATTTCTGCTCAGGAAACTCTATAGGAACCTATAGACATATGTTTTGGGATTGCCCTGAAGTTAATCATTTCTGGAAACAGGCATCTAAGACTCTGAAGGACATACTGGAAGTTGATATATCATGCTGCCCTAAGCTTTTGCTTTTAAATGATGACTCATCTTTCGGTTTCTCTCGGTCTCAGAAAAAATTGTTATTCTCTGGATTAACTGCAGCAAAGTTCCTTGATTATTACGCCAGAATGAGAGCATAGTTCCTAACCATATCGGCCTAGAAAATCGCAACTTTTCATTTTCCGTCGGTCTTAGTACACTATGTAACTACAGAAGAGTCAAGTTTTAAATAGGAAAAATATAGAAACTCTTTGGTCTTTTTTGAGCGAGATGCTAACGGTCTAATCAGATTCAATGATCTATGCTAAGCTACAGGTAAAAGTGCTACCGCCAGACCCGGAGATCGGCTGAATGGATTCAAAAATGGTAAAACTCAACTGTTTAACTCTAAGGGAGTTGGAAAATGAGCCTATTTTCAAAAATAGTGGAGTGTTCCTTTAAGTGAAAGTTGAAGTGATGTGTGTCCAAGTATGGTGTCCCATACTCGAAATTTATGCTCTGCATTTATACCATCCAAGTGCACACACACAGCAGTGAGTAGTAAACAAACAAACAAACACACACACACACACACACACACACGGTGAACACACACCTGGAGCAGTGGGTAGCCATTTATGCTGCGGCCCCCGGGGAGCAGTTGGGGGTTCGGTGCCTTGCTCAAGGGTCTCACCTCAGTCGTGGTTATTGAAGGTGGAAGAGAGCGCTGTACATTCACTCCCTCCACCTACAACTCCTGCCGGTACCGAGACTCAAACCCACAACCTTTGGGTTACAAGTCCGGCTCTCTAACCATTAGGACACAACCCAAAATTTGAACAGAGAACAATTTCTTATTCAGACCCGACTCTCTTAAAATTGAGCAAATTAGGTGTTCATCGGAGTGGTGTAAGAGCAAGTAAAATTCTCACACTTGAAATGGGAAAACACCAAAAAATATTGACTAAATTAAAGGAGTTTTTGTGGGTGTAAAAAAAATAAAATAAAATCTCTCCTTGGGTCAATTTGACCCATCGTAAAAAACAAAATAAATTCAAAGTAAACTGAAGTTTAGAACTGGAGAATGTTTCTGTTACGGAGTAACCAGAACCTGAGACGTGCGGATCCATGTGCAAAGCTTTTATTAAGACATGGTCATAAACGGGCATAGGTCAGACATAGGCAAACTAGTATGTAGAAGACAAGGCAAGGGTAGTCCGGTAAACAAGCGAGGGTCAGTCGACGACGAACGTAATCCAACAGGGCGAGACTAGAGAGATAATCCAGGTACAAAGCAAAGGTCCAGGCAGGGGCAAACAGTATCCGAACAGGGCAAGATGAGAGAGGTAATCCAAAGTACACAGGCAATGATCAGAAGACAGGGAAACAGACAAGGCAAGACTAAGAAACTTAAAGCAGGCTCCGTAACGCAGCTATCACAACTAGCGATATGCACATACAATACTCGGCAGCCTAAAAGGGATCTGAGTGAGTGCTATATAGTGAATGTGTGATTGGTTACAGCTGTGTGCAATCAGTGCTGTGTGCAATCAGTGCAATGGATGATGGGATATGTAGTCCGGGATGACATGCAACAGTTTGTGTAGTGCGAGAGTCAATGTAATGGAAGGGAGACTTCTGGTGGTGATTGAACGGAAGTCCATGGACAGGATTCGTGACAGTTTCCATATTGTATTTGGAATATTTTGGAATTCCTCTAGTGGCAGTAATCATAAACTGCAAGTTCATGTCATTTCATTTCCATAAGGGGGCATCAAAGACACTCGATGACCAAGTGCACGATATGTTTAGATGCTCACAATTAAAATAGGACTGCAAAGACTTTTTTTTGTGAAACAATGTAAACAAATATGCTTATTTTCATAATAAAATACTGCATTTAAAGGTAAATAAAATAAAATAAAAATTACCAATAATAATAATAGTAAAAAAATGCATAAATATAAAGATAATATTTTACCTAAATTGATTGATATAAGCTTTCTGGATCAGAAAAATAAATGTAATTTTTATGCTACCTGCGAGGAGAGGTTTTGTTACTCTCTAACAAGAGAGGACGAGGGTTAAAATAAATAACTAAATACAAAATAACTAAAGCAGGAATGCAAAACTCAATTCCTGGAGGCCCACAGTTACACATGTTCCATGGTAGTACCATAATATTCTTGAAATTACCTTGGATTATGACAGCACATTCAATTTCAGTGCAACAGTATCACTATCTGACAACATGGTATCATCACATATACCTGCTGTAGTGCTGACACTGAATTGTATATTATTTAGATCTATTATATGTAATCAAAGTACTATAATCTATGAAAAATAAGTAAAAACAAAAAAGTAATATCAAGATTGATAGAACATCTTGACATGTTTGTGCTACTGGTCTCACTTCATAATGTCTGTGGTTTCTGGTTGAAAATAGAGGTGTTTTAAAAACAGTGGCACTACTCATTGTGTTCAGACTTTTTTTGCCAAACAAGATGCTGCGGAGAATCGTCCTGATCACCCTGCTGATATCCTCAGGTAAAATTAGCACAGATCAGATGTTAGTTAGCTTAATCAATCTATTTGATTTTATTTTGTGTGCATAGCTGGAAAAATAAATAAATAAATAGCACATAGACCAATTTGGTGCAGTGCTGGTCATGCTAAAACCAGCTTTAAAGGGATAGTTCACCCAAAAATGAAAATGTGATGTTTATCTGCTTACCCCCAGGGCATCCAAGATGTAGGTGAGTTTGTTTCTTCAGTAGAACACAAACAAAGATTTTTAACTCAAACCGTTGCAGTCTGTCAGTCATATAATGGAAGTGAATGGGAATCACGGCTTTGAGAGTCAAAAAAACATACACAAACAAAACCAAATTAAACCCTGCGGCTCGTGATGATACATTGATGTGTAAAGACAAAACGATCGGTCTGTGAAAGAAACTGAACAGTATTTATATCGTTTTTTTTATACCTATGATTTACTGCAATGTCCGAACTGTCCTGTGTGCATCCTGAGCGCGTTCGCAGACTTATAAGTGCATTACCGCCACCAATCTCTCAAATAAACATTGACACTCCTAATTGAGATTGAAGATAGAGTGTCAATGGTCCATTTGAGAGATAGGTGGCGGTAATGAACTTATAAGTCTGCGATCCGCCGTAAAGCAAGAAGAAGAAGAAGACGCAAACGTGCTCAGGACAGTTCAGACATTGCGGTGAATCAGAGGTATATACGGTTTCGACCGTATATAAGCAGCTCCGGGATGACATGCAACAGTTTGTGTTGTGCGAGAGTCACTGTAATGGAAGGGTGACTTCTGGTGGTGATTGAACGGAAGTCCATGGACAGGATTCGTGACAGTTTCCATATTGTATTTGGAATATTTTGGAATTCCTCTAGTGGCAGTAATCATAAACTGCAAGTTCATGTCATTTCATTTCCATAAGGGGGCATCAAAGACACTCGATGACCAAGTGCACGATATGTTTAGATGCAAAAATGGACCATTGACACTCTATCTACAATCTCAATTAGAAGTGTCAATGGTCCATTTGAGAGATAGGTGGCGGTAATGCACTTATAAGTCTGCGATCCGCCGTAAAGCAAGAAGAAGATGATGCGTCACACGTGAACGTGCTCAGGACAGTTAGAACATTGCAGTAAATCAGAGGTAAAAAAAACTATATAAATACCGTTCGGTTTCTTGCATAGACCGATCGTTTCGTGTCTTTACATATCAATGCATCGTCACAAGCCGCTGGGGTTTAATTTGGTTTGGTTTGTGTATGTTTTTTCCCATTCACTTCCATTATATGACTGATAGACTGCAACGGTTTGAGTTAAAGATCTTCGTTTGTGTTCTACTGAAGAAACAAAGTCACCTACATCTTGGATGCCCAGGGGGTAAGCAGATAAACATCAAATTATAATTTTTGGGTGAACTATCCCTTTAATGTGCCCAATTCACTGTTTAACTAAATGCACTATATTAAATGCCCACGTTTAGTACTTAGTATGTGCTACATTTATCATGCATTTTTACTTAGTTTGTGCTCTTCACTTGGAAATGCACGAAGAAGAGTTTACTGGAAATGAATTAAAAGAAAGCTCTGTAAGTCGTCCTCAACATAGTTTATCATTAACCCATTTTGTGTGGGTCATTTTCATGACTAATTTTTTTTATTTTCCCAATTTTTTCACATTTTCTAGAGCCGTTATGTAAACAAGTCGTGCGCTATTAGTCCACTGACCCAGCAAATATGCAAATAAGCACATTAACCCAGGGTTTAGAAATGTACAGTGTGAAACGTCGGCGTATGAATAACCAGGATTAATTGTTAACCCCTGGTAAATTATGAGCAGTGTGAAACATGAAGCAAGATAACCCAGGATCCTGTTGACCCAGGGTTAACTATTTCAAGTGTGAAAAGCCCTTGAGTGTTCGCTTCAGCTGGGAAAGTTGAGCAGAGTGCACTAGAGCTAATGGTATGATTATTGTTTTGCAGATCACAAGTTTTTATTTTTGAATATTTGTGGTATACTGTACACTCTGTTTGACACCAGTTTTCTCTCTCTCTCTCTTTTGCTTTAATTAAATGGACAATAAATGCATGAAACTCATGTTTTGTGACGTTTTTGCACTTTTCCAATTTTTGGAGATACTTTTACAAACAGAGGATGCTTGAATTAGTATTTATTGGTCTTTTTCTTGGTCCATCAGCACCACACATTAATATCTCATGCCCATTTCAAACTCATCATTTTGCAAATAATCAGTAATAAAGACAGTTTGCAGAAAGACTAAATAGAATAAAATGGGTTTGAGTCACATGTATAAACAAATATACGTGTCCATACAAATAATTACAATAAAAAAATACATAATGACAGCACACATGCTACAATTAGACAGTATTTACAGACAAATGTTTTCAAGCATTTGTCCATTAAACTAACGCTACTGCCAGAAATAGTTTACTGTGAAGCTGCGGTGATGCTCAGCATGCATTTGGAGTTGCGAGAAAAGACATGCACGTGTTCTGATCTCCGTCTCCAGCTCTGCTGCAGTGCATCCTGGTCTAGTTTATTGAGACTCTGGGAGCACAAACGCAGGTCTCGGATGTGATCAGACAGACTGTCCAAACAAACATCACCCAGAGGTCCTGACACCTGACAGCCTGTTAAGAAGAACAAGAGGAACTTTAAATATGACAGGACACGGTGAGTCACATTCACAATAACAGCGATCATTATCAGTTTGTTTAGACGGCCGATGACATATCCAGCAATTCAAATTTTGCACTAATGAGCTTCTCAAACAGCTTTTCCTGTGAGATACTGCAAGATGCTGCTACTGCGAGATTATGATGTGACTGCTTGCAGCTATATAACAAAACATGATGGTTAAAAAAATGTCATCACTAAGTTAATTTGAAATCTACTTTATGATATGCTGTTGCAATATACAGTCAAACCAAAATTTATTCAGACACCTTCAACATTTCATACATTATCACAGTTTATTCGCTATAGTTTAGAAAATGGTAATAAAATATGACAAGAACTCAAGAGTTAAACTGTCAGAACAAATTCATCTTGATAATGTCAGATAACACTTAAGCAAAACATGGTCAGGTCAAAGTGTCTGAATAATTTGTGGTCCCAAATTTTTATCCATTTTACTGGTAGTCCACTATATGAAGAATTTTTGGGTATAATATGTCAGTTTACTTTATTTTGCTATCTTGCTATCTAATTGTCTTGTCTGAAACTTGGTTAAGTAAATCAGTTTCAGATAAAGAAGTCAATATAAGTGGTTATAATGTTTTTAGGACCAACCGCCCTAATAGAGGTGGGGGTGTAGCAATTTACATCAAAAACCAGTATCACGTTAATGTACTGTTATCAATATCGGTAGTATGTATGGTTGTACTGCTGCCTATCTTGGCCAGGACACTCTTGAAAAAGAGATTTTTAATCTCAATGAGTTTCTTCCTGGTTAAATAAAGGTAAATAAATAATAAAATAATCTTCACTTACATAAATAAACTATAGTGTCCTGCACCCACTAGTAAAAAAAAAAATATCAAAAATTATATCTGGTGTCTGAATAATTTTTGGTTTGACTGTATATACAAAAACTTTCCCTTTTGGAGCAATAAAATTGGTTACTTGTCAAAAACTGAATGGCAACATATTCATACTATTAATTTCTCCCATTTTTGATCAGATGCTCAGAAAGCAATAGTACAGGTCTGAATTGTCAGTAAACCTATTACAGGGAAAGTACCTTCAAATTGCCTTTGAGTTTAAACATCTTGCTCAAGTTTATCATCGGTTAGGGGTTTGAACCTACAACCTTTCTGTTATCAGCCTACAGCCAAACCACTGGCAGGATACAAAAGCAAAATACACAATAAAATGACAATTAATGCATCCGAGCTGATGAGACACTGGCGATCAAATCTAAACGTCACAGGAAGAAAAGAAAATACCTTGAAGATTGAGATGGGTCAAAGGTCGCTGGGCCTCCATGAGGGCGTTAAGGAGACTTTGAAGGCCGACTGAGGTCACTGAACGGTTGCCAGACAAGTCCAAAGACACCAGGGAGGGACAAACAGGAAGACACCTAAAAATAACCAAAATATATCTATAATTTATACAATAAGCTGCAAAATGAAATAAGCATATAAATGATGTTTTAAGTTTTGTAACAAATAGTTAAGTACAGTAAGACGAGAGTTGAATGATTCACCTAGCAAGCAAGAGGACACTGTGGTCCGTAAGGCCATTTCCAGCCAGATTTAAGTGTGTGAGTGGACAGTCACCCTGGAACCCAAAGATTTAGTCAATATTATTTACATAGCAGTTGAATGATGCAGACTTTAAAGCAGAGATTAAATGGCATCAGGGCTGGAGCTTAATTCTCAGAACCAGCCCACAATCCATACTAAACATCTTCAGCACGCATTCTTGTTTTGATGACTGTTTTATGATTCGAAAAGGGGCAACTAACTGACAGGTAGGAGCAGCGGTTGCATTAAACAAAAAAACACTGACGGATCGTTCATTTTTTCCTGTTATTTTGACAAGTCCACAGAAGTCTAAACTGGACTAGAAGGAAGTCAGCATACTTGTGTCAGGAGTTTAGTGAGGATCTCCATGGCAGGCTGGTCGGATGGGCCTCTACAGACTGCAGACAGCTGAAGGTGCGTGAGACAGTGCATCGGTAATGTCTTCAACACAAGCTCGAAACCAGTGGAGCCCAGTGCATTATGGGAGAAGCACACCGACCGCATATTCCCAGTGCCTGTGAGAGCATAAAATAATAGACATTAGGGTTGGGCCGATAGACGATGCTATCGTCCATCGCCGATGGCTGATAGACTTCACGATGTTGAGCCGGCATCGTGATCCCCCCCCCATTCCCCCCATTCCCCCCGCATCCCAATACCGTGTTCGGAAAGAAAATGACGTGTAGGCGGAACCCCTAAAGGGAATAAATACGAGATGGGAGGAAAATATATATTTCAATATTTTTCCTCGCAGTTATATAATTGGGTAATTATACTACATATTTCGGCATCAGGGAGCCGCTATTATACCTGGCATTGAAACTGGCATCGTGCTTTTGAATGCACGATCGCTTTTAGTTTCACTTTTGAGATTCGCGATCACACGTACTCTGTTTATACTATGGAGTGGCAGTACTTACCACACATTTTACAAGATTATATGTTTGTCAGTGGCGCTGCAAATCATTCGCCATCGTCCTCAGTCATCTCTCTCCTTACTCTGTTTATGTGGTAAGTGAAATTTTCTGTACTGTAATGTAACAGGCAACCATTACACCGTGTCTACTCAATAAATTAAAAAAAAAACGCATTAAGAAAAACTCTAATAATGGCTGATAACTGATATGAAAACTGATGTAATGTCTGTCCCTAATAGAAGAACTTATTTTACTGGATGAATGAAAGTGCATTTACAGGGAAAGCAGCTTGACTCTTCGTCTCATGAAACCGCTGAACCGAAAAAGGGAAGCAGTTCATTTCTTCTCAAAAAGCAGCAAAACTCCTGACCACATCCTGACAAGACAGTCACAATTATTTGATATTCATTCTTCACACGTGTATTTTAGCTGCAGATTTCGGTGACCACACCATCTCTGCTGTACAGACTCATGCATGCTGGGGTGATTGTGCATTTACTGAGATCAAAACGAAGATATGCTTGTTAAAACTCAGCTGTATAAATGGTTGAGTATAAAATTTAATATATTTCATGTAAATAAAAAAAACAACATGACTTTAAATCAATCATTTCAAATGCTACAGCTGAATTTAGTATATTGAGGATATTCAATTATTAGTGTTTTTGAAGATGGTAACAGTTATTCAAAATGTAAAAATAGGGAAAAGAGCATTTAATATCCAATATCGACTGATTTCAATAAATTAAAAAAAAAACGCATTAAGAAAAACTCTAATAATGGCTGATAACTGATATGAAAACTGATGTAATGTCTGTCCCTAATAGAAGAACTTATTTTACTGGATGAATGAAAGTGCACTTACAGGGAAAGCAGCTTGACTCTTCGTTTCAAACGTGTCCGAGGCTTTTTTGAGCCCCTCTCCAGTGATCTGATTGGCTGATATGTCTAAAATCCTCAGTCTGGGCATAGTGGCAGCAGCAGACATCAGCTCCGGAAGGAGGTCGTTGTTCAGACGGTTGGCAGAGATGCGCAGCTCCGTGAGGCTGGCCTGCAGTTTGAGCGCTCGGAGGAGAGGAGTCAGAGACGCTGGAGGCAAACTGAGTCCACAGACGTTCACACATGAGCTGCTGTCCTGCACCTCACACAGCCGAGACACACGCCGGTTCTCCTCTAACACACGCATATGAAACAAACACATTTTGTGATAAATTTCCCAGAATTCTTTGTGACGAGAAAGACATTTAATTTGGCACAGAGTCACTCACCCACTGCCAGACTCTGACAGGCTTTCCTGTAGCGCTCAGGGAGAGGAGGAAGATCCCATGAACACACCTCAGCAACAACCTGCAACAGGAAGATTGACCAAAAGATGAAAAAAAGAAAGGTTTGCAATGAAAAACAACTTAAACTTTCAGCCAGTTTCTTTTTGGCGCTTGACACACTTTTGTTTAAAGGTAAAAAGCAGCCTGGGCTATATTGTTAATACCATGGAACAATAAAAAAAAATGCATCTAGAAGTATTTATAATGTACTACTGTTTTGAGTCATTTGTTTTTAAGGGGAGACACTGTAGGCAAAAACACTATTTTTTCATGCACCTGTCAATTTTGAGATTTTGGGCTTTTTGGCTTTTCATAAAAGTGTTGATAAAGACTAGTGGAAAGAAAACATCCAAAAGACACTGTTAAGTGCTTATATTATAGCACTTTATCTATTTGTGTCAATAGATTTAAATTGCAATACATATTTTTAAAGGCCATTTTCTCAAAATGAGTTTTTTCTCCTACACTGAGCCATAAATCTCCACTTCAGTAGCACTTACACACACCAAACTTTACATTTTTATTCCTGTCTATATTCTGAAGATTTTTACAGAGGGATTTGTTCATATATAATTTGCTTGATT